AGTCAATGAAACATATGGGTCAAGTGCTAAGTAGTGTCTGGAAGCTGCTGAAGATGGAGCTCTTTGTAATGTCTCAGTCATTATTCATTTTCTGTTAAGGATGTTGTTGTTAACTAGAAGCTCATGTAAGGACATGGGCCACGGTCCTGAATTTTCTCTTATGATACGACTGTCTTATGAGACCACTTTATAATAATTAAAGATGCTGTATGTAATTTTTTGACTCTTCTAAAGCATTAAAATACTATAATATATTTGCAGATATTTAAGAAACATGCCAAGTGAACATTCTTGTTCATCTGAAAAACAATGCTGAAGTCAGATATTCTGCTTTGAAAATCTTTGTTTTGGTCCCTTTAACTTGCCCAATGCCAGTTATCCAATGAGACGTATTTCAGCATCCCAGACTGCCTTTGTGGAAAACTTCATTCAGTCAGGAAGGCTCTCAAAGCATGCGTCCATGACCGAAATGTTTCCTCCGGTGGACATTGACAGCCTCAGAAGGCTCCACATGAGGTGGTTATTAAGTAGCAAATAACATAAACATTACAAACGTAAACATTAGGTGAACAGGTTACATTGTAACCCTGGGTCCTAACAACACGTGACGAGATTTGCTGTGATAAGCAATTGGGCTGTTTTACACCAATCGAAACATTACATAAATTTAAATACAGCCATTCACATGCATAGAACAATGCACTTACTGCACTCCAACAAAATGGTCAAGTTTATAATCTAGTAATACATACTGAACCTCTTAAACCATTTTATATGTAGATGCTGAATCTCTAATATGTGTTGGCTTGCACTGAGTCACAGTTCTAAAATTCAATTTCAATCAGTTTATTTTATTTTCAAAATCTGAGGTGAACTATCTACTGCTGCTTTCAGGGGTATGGCAATAAATGTCATGTAAAATGTCATTCAAACTCACATTATTAGCATTTAACACTGAATAGAGCACATGCGGTGTATATGAGGTGTCAGTTTTCTGTTGTTCTATCACTTGCTGTTGCTTTTATTTAAAACATGATTTAAATCAGCATTTGTTAGTGTCAATCTGGCAACCTGCTCGTGCTCGTTTTTTGAACTAGGTGTGTAATAGTTCAACCACTGGGTGTCAAACTTACATACTTACACCTGTAAGATACCATAGAATGGAAATGTAAATATATCTAGGGATAGCTGGCATACATACAAACATGACATACAAAGAGCCTCAAACACAGTTGTTTCCTCACGTTAGCTCTTATAGCAACCTAAGCTACAATGCAGAGAACATGACCAGAACATGCAAACTTCACACAGACATGCCTCGTGGTCCAGCTGGGACTCAAACCAGTGACCTTCTTGTTGTGAGCCAACAGTGCTAACAACTCCTGAAAATAACAATAAGGTAATAATTACTTGCATGTAAGGCTAATAACTCTTAAATGGCTATTAAAATAGTACACTATTTCCTAAACAAATTAAACATACAACATTAAACACAACAACAAAAATGTTTAAATGCCAAGTGAAGACTTTTAGCTTGGGGATTGGCTTAAAATTGGATTTAGTATTTATGTATTATGAAATATCTAACATTGTCTGAAACAAAAACTTTAAAAAGTCAGTAGCTAAAATGTCTTAAACTAAAATATATACAGGCATAACCAAACTTAAAACAAACAAAAAAATAATGCACAAGCATATCTTCTGCGCACACAGCACGGATTCTGCACACACAGAAATCCACAGATTTTAGCTCATCGTTAAGTCTATTTATTTACTTGTGTACATGTATGTAAATTTATATTTATTCATTTTTTTTTATTAATTTCAGTAATATTACTGACTAATATGATCTATAATAGATATGATATAATATATTATATGACAGACTTGCTTTGTTTACCAATTAAGTGGATCTAATTGTTTTCATGTTGTTAACATTAAGAAAAAGTTAATGTTAAAAAGATTTTTTTATCTCATATACTAAGTTTTAGTTTTGATACTTCAAAAATCATTCCACATACACTTGATTTTTTTATTTATTATTATAATTTTTTTTAAACCAAATTCTGCGCTGAAAGATAAAAAAAAGTCTGCAGATTCTGTCTGGCCCTTCTTATATCTTAAGTATGAAATTAAAATATAAACTAAATATATGAATATACAATTTTAATAAAAATAATTGTAAATGTAAATGTAAAAATGTATTAAATGTGAAGGTATAAATATGATAATGAGTCAGAGATAGTTCTTAGAAAGAATGAGAGAGAGAGAGAGAGAGAGAGAGAGAGAGAGAGAGAGAGAGAGAGAGAGAGAAATAGCAGCGCAGAAAAATGATAAATCCTTTTCAGAGTACTTTTTCAGCTGACAAAACATTCTAATGAACAATGAAACAGTTATAAAGCTTAAAACATTGACACCCAATCTAAATCCATCTTGCTTTATAAAGCTAACATAATTAAAATTAGTTGTTTTTTTTATTGTGTGCTTTAGATTTCATGCCTACTTTGCTTGGTGGCATAAAGATGGTTGAAGAGCAAACTTTAAATATACACTTCACGTCAGCAGAAATAGGTGCACACACAATCATGAAAGATGTATGACTAACATTTAAATGTACTGGCTGTTCATTCACCCTTTACGCACACCTAGAGGGAAGCAGTCGACCTATTTTTCTTCCATAATGAAGAGAAATACCAGCATTTGCACATTTCAGTCGTAGTAACACAACTGGCATTGTACCAGTTCTATACATAAAGGGAAAAACTGACTATTTTGAAGAGGAATCTTTTTCAATTTCTGTACCACTCTGCAGGAGGAGTAGGAGTGAGAATTCACAGGAACAATGGAGAGGTGCATATCATTTGGCTCCACACATGAAAAAGCAGATCTGGATGCTAGAGAATTATATAGTTTGTGCTAGAAAATGTGTTACAATACAGAGTAGGTGAAGGCTTTCTCATAGTGCTTGTCAATATGTGTAGTGAACTGAATGCTACTGTAAGGAAAGAATGCTCAGCATCAGCACAACAGCCTCTCTTTTTTGTTGATTTAGTAAGTGCCTTACAATTGATATGAGGCAAGACAGAGTACTAGACATAAAAAAGGTTCTGTCTGGCTGATGACTGGACTGGACAGTAATACCATTTGCACAGAGGGGACATGATGTGTGAGGCTCAGGGCATAGAAGGAAATGTTGCACATGAAGTCTCTTTCAACCATTTGTTTTACTCTTTGAGGAAATAATAAGACCTCAAGTTCCCATGTTCTCTTCAACACTTTACCAATTCAATATGATTTTGTTGACAAGACTGTATGTGGTCTTTTTATTTTTTCAGTTTTTGCTTATGAGAAAGTGCCTATATTTGTAAAATTCTCCCTCCCTTTTTTCTGGTTCAGTTTTTATTTATTTATCTTTTTTACTACCATTGATGGCTCCATGATGAACATTTAACACCAATGGAATATTTTGGGTGTAAAAAGATGCTTTAGAATATGAAATGTTTTAAATTATTAAAAAATTGTTTTAAATTTTTATTATTATTTTTTTATTAGGTTCATCTTAGGTCAAACAATGAAATATACATAATTATGATACATAGATAAACGCACTGATACAATTCTCCAAACAAGAAATTATCAGGAAAACATAATTATACACTAAATAAATATATGAATAAAAGGTAAATTACCACAAATACTGTATGCACAAAGACATACAAATGTAACAAAAAAATAAGAATTTTAAAAAACAAATAAATGAATTTAAATAAATAAATAAATTATTAAAAGAAAAGAAAGGGGAAAAAGGCAATTAAGATATAGGTGTCTTCTTAACAATTTTTTTAAAAGGGCTCCAGACTTTCTGGAACTGTTCTAGTTTTTGTTTTATTGCAAACTGAATCTTTTCAATATGAAGAGCATGTAGAAAATCAAAAACATTGCTTGTTTTAAACAAGAGCAGAAAGAATGTAACAGTGTGGCTGGTTCGGTCGTACAGCGAAGTGAAGTTGGGTCAAGATCAGGGGAAAATTTGAATAAATTGTTATTTGAACAACTTTTAACTAAAAGATATTTTTATGGGGAACCAAAAACAGTTCTTCTAGAACACCACTGTTAAAAACCTCTTATTTTTAAAGATGTGTGTTTGTTAAACACCCTGGAAAAGACACAAGAATTTAGTTACCCTACAAAAAAAAAAAAAAAAAAAAAACATAAGCTGGTCTTTCCATCAGGGTTCATTTTGATATTCACTGAGCTTTTATAGCTAAATTCTCTCTGCAACTTTTTTTTTTTTCACAGTGTGGTTAAGTAAACAGTTGTTGGACCTGGCCTTTTAAGCTTTGTGAGCAAAGATTTTTAAGATTTATGTATGTGTGTGCATTTTCTGAAGCTATTTATAGATTAGAGAAGCTGACAAAGGTTGTGAGACATGCGGATTAAAAAGGTTAGATAAGGAGAAACAAGAGAGTTGAGAGCAAATCCACGTTTAACTGCAACAATGACAAGGATTATAAAAAAGATGAATGTGTGAGTTATTGATGTTTCCAGTTCCAGTTTCTGAACAATTTTATTTTTCAGTTCCTTTATTGATGTTCCTCATCTCAACACCAACATCAAAATGCTTGCTCTGTAAAAATGTTACTTTCGCTTTTTTACATTAATTTTGCTATAATTACATTTTAAATGTGCAGAAGTGTAATTTAGTTGTTTTCCTATAATTTTATTTATCTTAGACTATTACTATGGTACACAAGTCACGATCAATCAGGAAAAATAAAAAACAGATGTATACATATAATTAGTAAAATTAAATAAATGAGCATTAATAATAATATATTTCAATTAGCCTAACTACACATAAGTTAATACATACATTGTTATGCTATTCATTGTGAAAGAAAAGTGCATCATGCGTTCTGTTTGCTTGCGAGGCTGTGAAAATAGTGTTTATTCGTCAAGACTCGCGTGCACGTTTCGAAACCTAACCATGCGCACTTACTCCACTGTTGTACATTTGACAACGACACTGGACACGCATTTCTTGAAAAGGGCAATAGACACATTGGAGGTGGAAGTGGTGTGAAAGAGGAGGGACTTGAGACTTCAGTTTGCGTTTCACTGTGGGAACTGAAGGGCGCTCGTGCTCGGTTCCGCCGGACTGACCGTTGAGCTGAGCCACGGAACTGGTCGCGCGCTCCTCACGCACGCTTATAGTTTGCGCTGACAGCAACTGTCACACGTTAAACTTCAACAACTGTGCCAAACGTGGACATTCCGTAAACCCGGTAAAGCTTAGAAGTTGTCCGTTTCTTTCCAAGCGCCTCTCTTCTATGCAAGGATGTGAATTTCCACAGGAGGATTTAAAGTCGTGCCATGGTTTTGACCCGCGCGCTCCTCACAGAAATGGTGAGTGATTCATTCATCATTAACGCGCTTTATAATTGCCCTGAAATGCTGAAAACTATTCATTAGTCTACGGTGTTTCTCAGCTAAAGATGAATAAACCGAAATGTTTGGACTGCTATGAATCACAGGGTGCTTAAAAGTGCCCTTATATGGGAGTTATATATTAAATTATGTGCTCATATGTTAAGACGGTCTTTTAAAGTCTTTTCTGAATCGAAATGCATAATACTGACACACATAATAAGCGTCATAAATCATAATGCTCAATGAGACTACTTTCTCACATTTATCAGTTTCAGTTCTTAAGATATGAAGCGTATATCCCTCATGCTTTAATCCAGGCGTTTCATTCATCAATATTCTATTCAGAAACAACTTTCACAGCTCAGACGGAAGACATTTTTAATGCTCAATTTTACAAGAAATGTTATTTCAACAAGTGGCTTAGAAATGACAGTCTCTTTTAGTGCTTCCATGGGTCTTTGATGATCATTTATTATTCATAAATACAAATGTCATAGACATTCTTCATATTTGATATAGAATTATGCAATCTAAACAAACTGTCACTAAGGACAGAGAGAATTCTGTGTACCTTGCCCAAAGGTGCAATAAACACCTTCACTGACCCAGTTGATGTGACTCTCATGTGTTTGGAATGTGAATTAATTAAAATGTCCATTAAATATTGATCTATTATGATATTTAAATATTAAGAGGCTGTAATGATACAACAGACATTTAAAACTGAGCCTCATAATATCATTCAGTTGATACTTTTTTATCTGAGGGCCACTGAAGCTTTGGCAAAGAAAGATCTGTTTTTAAAAATCTGTTTTAATTTGCATCTTTCCGTTCAGCCTTTTTTTTTGTATATTTTCGTAGCTTACAATCAACATTTAAGTAATCAGCTGTGTTGACTGGATGCTGACAGTTCGGTAAATTTAATGGCAAGGTAATTTCGTGATTGTCACATTTGGAAAGCGCTCTTTCTCCATCACCAGGCGGTAATCCTTCTCCATGATTTGTAATTATGAAGTTCTCCAGTGACGCGGAAAGCAAGGGAAGAGAGTGAGAGAGTAATGAACACTTTGGAGTTGTCTGTGTTTTTGATATATGAATGATTGTAAACCTCGTACAGTGGGTAGACAGAAACTTGTACTCTGTTGAATGCAACTTAAATGAGAATCGGCTCACAGTTTTTGTCAGAGAGCATGTTTTTATTCGGATGCCAGAATTAGTTCCTGTAGAAGAATCAGTTTTGAAAAGAGCGTAATTTCAGTTAGATGTTCCAATCAATCAGATGACAATCAGGTGCAAGTTTCAGCGCCGTTCCCCATAAAACAAACACAGACTTTGGCTGTTGCTATCTGAGAATATACTTCCAACTACAAGTTTACAAAGTCAGTCATTCCCTGATTAAATAAGAAAATAAGAGATTTGTCGATATTAATGAGAAACGGATGACTTTCCAAACTATTCTCAAGACTAAAGACTTTGACCTCCATAAATTCACAGATAAGATACGGTAGTGTTCAAATAAGGAAATAGTTCAGTTTACTCAATTCATAGAGCGCTCAAACAACTGAAGGTTTCTCAAAATTTTCTTTTTTTGGAAATTATTACTTTAAGTAACTTTGTAACATGCCAACTTACTCTCATTAATATTAGAAGACTCTTATGTAAAGGTTAGGGAAGTACTGCAAGTTGACATGGATCTTTAAAGTTACTTATTGCCAGTATAATGTCTGTTGGTGGACCATAAAAATAAAGTGTTAGCACTTTGCTAAAGTATTTACTAAAACTTTAATGACTTCTTTCTGCCATAGTTGCAAAGTTGCTTATTGTATAGTCAACAGAGTGTCTAAAAGAGACCATAAAATAAGGCATTACTTATTAGTTGTATTTCATGCAAAGGAAAAGCAAAGCACATTAGGGTGATCTGATGAGTGTTGTTGTTGCAGAACAGCAGATGTGATTTTGCGAGACAATATGGGAAATGTGGGAGAAAGACACATTTATTAGACTACATAATCTAGATTTATATTAGTTGGACAGCCTATTTTCCATTGATGTTGGATGATAACACGCTTTAAATTGTCAATAAGCTTGTTATTTATGACTTGGCCGTATTGGAGTGATACAGTACATTGTAAATTACCTCACGGGAGCTAGTCAATCTACAGGATATAATGAACTGACTATTTTAGTATATAACAGACTAAAATAGTGATGTTATTTTCAAAAAGTCAAACATTAAATGTGTTTACTGTATTCAGTGGTTCTTGAGCTTGAGTATTATGTTGACATTTTATTTGTCAGCTTTGAGGAGGACATTCTCATTCTTTATGTCTAAATCTCTTAGATGTCACAGACCCCCAGATGGATTCATCCTTGTGCAAGACATTTTAACATTTAAAAAGCCTCAGTATAGTTTCTTGTTAAGACGTAATTTTATATTATTATTATTATTATTATTATTATTATTATTATTACTATTTGTTTAATTAATTTGATTGTATTTACTTAATTGACTCAATTGGTTATTTAAATAAACATAATATAGTTTAATGCATTTAATTTTAATTGCATCATTTATTTAATATAACTAATATTTGTTTTAATCAAATTTTTACATTGTATTTTAATTTTAAACATTGTAAATTTTGTGTGAAATGTGTGTTTTTTTTCTTCAAAAAATATTAGGTTATAGATTTTCTTTTTTTAATTTTGCAATTAAATTATTTAATAAATGCCCCTTTATTTGTAAATGTTTATGTTTTTTCTGCCAATATTCCACAGAGCCCCTAGCTCTCCCTCATGTCCCTCTGGATTACAGGTTTGAAAACCCTTGTTCTAGAAGACTAGACTTCCAATTTCTGGAATGTCCCACAGGGAATCACCCTAATCCAAATGTGTAAGACCCTGATAAAGACAATATCCAAGAAAACACATGGGAAAAGACTATACTTCTCTCCAAAAATATCTTTAGTTCTCATCTGAAGTTTCTATGCCAAAGCTCAGAATTCTCTGTAGTCAGAGAAGGCAAAACTTTTTAGGGTCTTTCAAAATAAGTACCTTACCTTCCTGTAACCTGATGGGAATATCATATATCTTCCCTCCGCCCCTCTCGTTTGTTCAGTTACAGCTTCTATTGTAAGGTAAATGAACACAAATGTACAGTTCATCCAGAAAAGCTCAGACGGGATGCTTTTGGTTCATGTGTTTTAAGATAGAGGGCAGAGACTAGACCTTAGTGCTAATATATGGACCGTTAGCAATGGGAAGAGTTCATCACTTATCCTGAAAGGTCCTAGGTCAATTTGCGTTTATGCAATAGTGAATGCAGCGATCAATACTGACGTGCCAAGCGTGGAACGAATGTGTTTTGATGGATGGCTTAGTGTGAGGCTGTGGCCTGAAGATCAATACACTCTCCTTTACATTGCATTAGAGCCCTGTGTAGAGCTTTAAAACAAAGGTGAGACCCAACCGATGCCAACATGCAGTGCCTTTACCTTTCCTGTAGCTTCCTAATCAATTGCCTCTTTTGTTTAATCACTTTCTGGGCCAAAGGTGTAAATCTATTGAACAAAGTTTTCCACTTTTAGTGAGACCCATGTTACACATTCTTCGATTTTGGCATAACTGATCTTAAGGATTAATGAGTTTGGGTCATGGAAGCGATTGGGGTGATTTCATTCTGTTCCCTGTCTTGAACACCTTGTAGAGGGAAGATCATTAGTTGGTCTAGAGAGAGAACTTGAAGATTCATCTCACTGCTGTCAATCACCACATTCACGTGTTACAGCACAGATAAGGGTCTTCTCCGTGTTTAGATGACTGCAGTTTTAGGAAAAACTTTTTGGAAGTTTTAATAAGGTGCTGGTAACATTACGATATTTGTCTATCTGAATAAATTTTGTAAACATATACAGTTGAAGTCAAAATTATTAGTCCCCCCCCCTGTTAATTTCCCCCCCTAATTTCTGTTTAATGGAGAGACGATTTTTTCCCATACATTTCAAAACATAATAGTTTTAATAGCTGATTTATAATAACTGATTTATTTTATCTTTGCCATGATGACAGTAAATAATTAGTCGATATTTTTCAAGACACTTCAATACAGATTAAAGTGACATTTAAAAGCTTAACTAGGTTATTAGGTTAACTAGGCAGGTTAGGGTAATTAGGCAAGTTATTGTATGACGATTTTTTGTTCTGTAGACTATCAAAAAAATACAGCTTTAATAAATGTATTAAATATAGCTTATTAAATATAGATTTAATACGTTTATCAGTCATTGTAATACATTTTTAAAGTTATTAATTAATGAAGTAATAATTAATTTCGCAGCAAGGCATACAGTGTCTTGGACTTTGCACAGCTTCAGCTAATATCATTCAGTTAATAGGACCAAAAATTATGATTCATGATTGAATTGTTTATTGAGGCCTTGAGACAAAGAGTCCTATTGAGTAATATGATTTTTTTTTTTTTTTGGATTGTGAACATTCATTCATTCATTTTTTTCGGCTTAGTCCCTTAATAAAACAGGGTCACCACAGCGGAAGCAACTGCCAACTTATCCACCACATGTTTTATGCAGCAGATGTCCTTTCAGCTGCAACTCCTCTCTGAGAAACATCCATACATACTCATACACTACGGACAATTTAGCCTACCCAGTTCACTTGTACCGCATATCTTTGGACTGTGGGGGAAACTGGAGCATCCCGAGAAAAGCCATGTGAACGTGGGGAGAACATGCAAACTCCACACAGAAACTGTGGATGTTATTATTTAACTTGAATATAGATAACAAAAGCTGTTTTACTTCTAAGGAGATAAATTTTTTTGTGTCAGTATTAAAATCAAACGCTGTTGTGATTTCTATTTCTACCAGAAAGACTTTAGGAGGCAGATAAACGTTTAAACATTTATTGTGAATTGTTTGCATGAATGCAAATTCATTACGGTCCTTTCATGAAGTTCT